GCAAAGGCCCTAACTGTGCAAAAGAAGTTGTAGCATAAGCTTTCGTGGACTTGGCCTACCTCCTTTGATGCATAGTGCCCAAGAAGGACCTTTATATGAATAGCCATAAAAATGCAAAACTGGTGGGTAAGCTCACTTTTATCTATGGTCATAAGGCCAGGATGGATGGATGACCATAAGAATGGTGAAAGGAGTTTTGGAAAGTGGTCCACGCAAGCTGGAAGCCAGACAGGAGATAGGATAAAGTGGCTAAGAGCATCTTTCTGAGAGTGTGTTACAGCAAGTCTAGTGTGCATGAAAGCCAATATTATTATTATTATTATTATTATTATTATTATTATTATTATTATTATCTCTGTCCAGCCCACTGTTGATGGATTGGAATTTGTAGATATATTGTAATTCAGCTGTTTCTCTTTCCAGTCTTTCTTTGTAGTATTTTTTTATTCAAGGACCACTCTTCTGAGTTCAGAGATGGAATGCACTGAAAGACTGAAATATAATAAGGAAAATGATTTACTCTGTGAGAGCTTATCCTGCAACTTCTTTTGCACACTTACTCTCAAAGGGACTCTCACAATCTTGATCTGAAGGCTGCTATTTTGCACCAGACCAAAAAATGCATATGCCTCTGAAAGGGAACTTACACACATATGTAAGACACTGAAAGTCTCCGGCCATTGCAAAATAGCACTGCACTATCCTCTAATGATGCTAAATGTGATGTCTCATAAGCCAACAGCATTCACACACACACACAATTTAAACACTGATTACAAAAGTTAAAAAATAATTAAATATTACTAATATTAAAACACGAGGGTCAGTTTTGACATAATGGTTTGAGCATTGGACTTTGACTTTGGACACCAGGGTTTGATTTCCCACTCAGCCATGGAAACCCACTGGGTGACCTTGGGCAAGTCACACTCTCTCGGCCTCAGGAAGGCAATGGCAAACCTCCTCTGAACAAATCTTGCCAAGAAACCCCATTAAAGTTTTGTCTTAGGCTTGCCATAAGTCGGAAATAACCTGAAGGCACACAACACACAATATTAAAACAAAAAAAGCATAGTTAAAACCAGTTAACAGCCATTAAAGCGCTATCCTAAGGAAACTGTCACTTTTGGGAGCACAGGACCTAGCATATTAAACAACGCATCACCCTCTGGTCCTGAAATCCTGTTAATGTGATTTAATGCCGACATAAAGGATGCCTTCTGCAATATGTGAGCCACAGACCTGCATACACACAGCAGGAACCCAAAGTCTGCAATCCTGACCAAGAAACTGGAGCAACAGCAGCCAGGCATTTCAACTCAGAACATCCCAGATTTGTCCTTGTTTAGTATTGCAGTGCCATCTCTTTCAGACATTTCGGACAAAAGGGAGGATTTATGGGTTCATAGATTTAAGAGCCTATTATCATATGGCCTCAGCTTGGAGGATCATAGCATCATCCCTGAAGGATGCGGGAAACAAAGTGTTCTAAACCTTGGATGCAGCTCAGCTTCATTTTTAGCAACTGTGGAAGGCACAAGCAGAAACATTTTGTTTTTTAGATAGATAGATAGATATTTGTTGTTGTTAACTGCCTTCGCGTCAGTCTCTAATATATATAT